GGGAAATCACGTGGTAGGATCCAGTTTTCCCTCATTCATTTCCATATTGTTTTGGTTCTCACTAGCATAAAAATAATAAAAGTCAAATACTCATATAATTTAATAGGATAGTATTTTTTATTTTCAAATTTAGTGGATAACAATTGTAAAAAATAAGTGAAAACAATCCCATGGACAATGCGACGGATTTAAGGTTATGTCAAGGTACGTCTCTTGTAAATATCAATTGATTGTGTCTCTTCTGAAATTACATTATGACGCATTCACATGCATTATTAATACAAATACATTTTCCAGGGCGAGACGATGAGGCAACCACAAGCACTGCCACTGGTTCAAGAGGTTCATGAGGAAAAAATGCACAATATTGCCATGATTACAGAGCACGGAAACGAGCGGAGCAGGAAAAAGAGTGGTTGAATAGAACTAGTGATCCTTCTACGACTGCTCATTCTTCTACAATTAACGGCGCAGGTTGCGAAGCTTAACTTCTTTCGCGCGGAGGGACTCCACGCACTATTTTTTTTTAATATATTGTTATTATTATTATTAATAAGCAGCATTTTCTATCGCTGAATGTATCATAATATCACGTGATCTAGCAATCTATCAAATATATAATCTAATAAATTTTTTCTGCTCTAAGAAACTCTGTTTTAAGTAGAGCAAATTTGGTTGAATCATATGCCACAGTTTTAAAGAAATAGTCTATGTCCATATTAAATCTTCGTTTTGATTTTGTGGTCAAAGTGAAAATTCTATTACAATACCTAAGCTTTTTTAATTTGCAGATTTTTTCAAAATCTCTTATTTTGACATGCGTGAGTTTGATATTTTGTCACAGGCTAAAGTGAATTTCACCATAACTGACATACGTAAGCTAATGTAATAACGTAAGGTAATATTACGGAAGCTAACGTGAATGCGTGAAATCTCCCTAATATTAATAAAAATTTCATAGTGTGGAATTTTGATGTTTTGAACCTGGTTTAGAGATGTTTAAAGATAGGAAAAGATGCATAAAATACTTTTAAAAGTCAATATGTACTTACTTTGTCATTGGATTTTTTACATCTTAATCCATTAGAGCAAGGACAATAGTTATATATAGAAAAATCGGCATCTTTACCCTTATTAGTTTCGCACATTTGACCTATAAATAAAATATATTTTACAAGAACAAATGGGTAGCAAAATTATTTTGTATACAGTAAAATTTCTAATTAGCTGAAAAAAGCACCAATTTATCTTTATTCATTCATACATTTTTCACCCAATACAAGAGGAAGAAAAAATATTTTCTCTGATAAAAATTACGATAAACGCCATCTCTTTACACTCATCCCTTTTTTTCATATTACACACACCTTATTGTCCACCTATATTTCCTTATTGGACGGAGAGGCTATCTCCTTTTTTCTTCATTTTTTTTTTGTTGCTTTGTAATTCAGAAACTGAAAGTGATTTGCATTTCATGTTTTTATGACTTTATCCAATTTCAGTGCTTATTTAACCCCTTGGGGACGGGTGATTCAGAAAAGCATTCGTACAAATCAGAATCAAGTTGTAATTCAATAAAAAACGGTAACTTAAATGTAGTCGTTTCTAATTTGACAGACTTACTTTGCTTTTACTTTAATTATTGTTAGTTTAATCATATATATATAATCAATGTTAATTCAAAGTATAACTAAATAGTTTTATTTCGAACAAAGTAATGGTGAATTAAATAAATCAAACAATTATAAGTCCGCCCTTAAATAAACTGCTAAAGAATTACTTTTATTACCAGTTTTATCTTTTTATCCTGGTTGATACGGCTTTATGCTGGCACGTATTTGTGACAGTCGGCGTGAAAGGATTAATCGTTCTAGTGTTAGTGTTATAAAAATGTATATATTGAACCAAACAGCCCAGAATTATGGTAGTTGCCATAGTGATCTCTATAGTCTGTTCAACGAGAACTGATAGTGAAAGTTAACAAAGCGGTGTGCTATTTGGCGCAATATCGTTGTCTGCTTGGCGCTGGAATAATGACAAATGGCGCCTATCATTCAAGCAAAAACTCTGATTTTTTAAAGGGTTGTTTGTTACGCCGTGGTGTCTTTTTGCAGGTGTTTTCATGAGGGATATAGAAAATAAAGTGATGGATTTAGGTCCTCCTTAAAAACGGCAGAAGTAATCTTACATAAGTAAAGCTGAGAAGGAAATAATATTGAACATTTATAAAACAGAAGTGCATTCAAAACCAGATGTTCTAATCATTGATGTGGCTGACCATGCAGCTTCTGCATCGGAAGTTAGCACAACTTCTGTTTTCAGAATTATTAAAGACTATAAAAGAGATGGTATATTACATTCACCGAAGAGGACTAAATCTCGTAAAACGTTTTTGGATGACATTGATGATTTCGACAAAAATGCTGTAAGAAGAAAAGTTCATGATTCTTTCCGCCGTGAACCTATTGAATTCGAGGTTTACAAACTGCTTTTTTTTAATAAGTTAAGTGGGTATATTTTTCTTAACAAAAGATTTTATGAGACATATAAAAAAGTTCCAAGTTTCTTTTAGTGTAACTATTTTCGTAATACTTCCCTTAGAAAAATAAAGATAACAGTTTATAAATACAAATAAATTCAGTTTCTTCAAATATGTTTTTAAATCAATCGGTGAAGCATAAAATTATTTTAATATTATTTAACTTTTCATAAATTTCTTAAAAAATTGTAATTATGAAAATAAAGAGTATTTTTTTAACATATTCTTTCAATTCTATACGACTTTTACGATGGAATTATAAAAGTTATGTTTTGCATAGATATTTATGCAAAATATATTAAAACTAATGTAATTTAAACTTAAAAAAAAAACATTAAAACTAGTCTCAAAATAAAATTACGTGTTTACTGAAACAATTAGAAACTTATTTTCCTGTAAATATATTAATTTTGCACTTTCTTATCTAATTTTAAGGTATCAAAAACCGAATATCGTTTTCGTTTTTCTATAAAAGCGAAAGCTCTATCGATTCAAACGAAATCGTCCATTCAGCGAAGAACCGTTGAAGTGGCAAACGTTGACGATCAAACAGTAACCCTTATGTTTACTTGCACTATCAGTTCTCGTTGAACAGTCCCAAATTCCTGATAGCTTAGCTTAGGGTGTAAGGCATACTTTGATATATATAAGATTACAAAGTTTCATTAAAAAACAAGTGTATCTATAATAAGACTTCAAAAAGAAAAGAAAACTCAATTATATAACAGTTGGGCTGAAAAGTTCGTAGGCTGACACAAAGATGGGGCTACTATTATTAAAAACATATGATTTTTAGTTAGTTCTAACCTTCAAAAGACACATGTATAAATTTGACAGCTGTCGGACTGACAGTTTGTGAGATATAGTATTTTTAGTTAAGCAACTTTTGTTAGTTTGCAAACAATGGATTAAAAAGGAATTTCGCGTATTTATAAAGCATTGCTTTCTAGCGAAAAAAAAAATACTCTTGAAGCCAAAGCCTGGATTAAGAAACATTATTCGAACTCTGTACCAGGAAAATCAACCATTGAGAAGTGGTTTGCTAAGTTTAAACGAGGCAAAATGAACACCGACGAAGATGCGCTCCGTGAACGCCCCAAAGAGGCTGTTAGCGACGAAAATATCAAAAAAGTCCGCAAAATAATTTTAGATTACCGTAAAGTGAAGTTGATCAAAATATCTGAGTCTCTAAAGATATCAAAGGAAAGTGTTAGACGTATCGAGAATGAATATTTGGGTATGAGAAAGGCAAAGTGGGTGCCGCGCGAGCTCACAATTGACCAAAAACAACAACGAATTGATGATTCTGAGCTGTGCTTGAAGCTGTTTAATCGTAATAAATCTGAATTTATGTGTCGATATATGACAATGGGTGAAACAAGGCTCCATAATTTCACACCGGAGTCCAATCGACCGTCAGCGAGTGAACTGCGCAAGAAGAACCAACTCCAAAGCTTGGAAAGATGCAAAAGTCAGCAGGCAAAGTTATGGCATCAGTATTTTGGAATGCTCATGGTTTAATATTCATTGACTATCTTGAAAAAGGAACAACCATCAACATCGACTATTACATAGCGTTATTGGAGCATTTGAACTTCGAAATCGCAGAAAAACGGCCCCATTTGAAGAAGAAGAAAGTGCTGTTTCATCAAGACAATGCACCGTGTCACAAGTCAATAAAAACGATGTCAAAATTATATAAATTGATTTTTGAATTGCTTCCGCATCCATGGTATTCTCCAGATCTGGTCCCCAGCGACTTTTTCCTGTTCTCAGACCTCAAGAGAATGCTCGCTGGAAAGAAATTTAGCGCCGATGAAGAAGTAGTCACCAAAACTAAGGCTATTTTGAGGCTAAATACAAATCGTACTATAAAAATGGTATCGAAAAATTATATGACCGCTATAATCGTTGTATTGCCCTTGAAGGGAACTATATTGAATAATAAAATGAAATTTTATCAAAAATTTTTTTTCTATGTAAGCCTACGAACTTTTCAGCCAACCTGTTAAGAAACTAAACAGGGTTCCCGCGGTCCTTGAAAAATTTAAAAAGTGGTAGCAAATTTAGGGTGGAGCTACAATATACTTTTCTATTTTAATAAACTTTTTTTATCGTAAAGTGCTTAAATTTTCGTGCATATATATATTTTTTAGAAAACAATTTTTAGTGGTGGCTACACAGAAATAAAAATGTCAAAATTTCTTTTATTTTTATTACCACTTTTTAAAATTCTCAAGGACCGTGGGAACCCTGCTAAAGTATACGATTAATTAAAAAGCCAGCGTTCCGTTTAATGAAATATTTTCGTTTCGAATAAAATACCATAAAATTTTGACTATGTTATGTTTTTATTAAATTATGGGTAATATGAATATGTTTTTATAAATTATGAGTAAATTATAAGTAATTATGAGTATATTTTAAGATTTTTATTTCTAATATATCCACACACAAGCAATCTGGGAAGGGCCAAACTGACCCCTGCTATGCAGAAATATGCATAACATATTTCCTAACATTTAAAAACTAAATTTTTATCTTTTTAAATCTTATTTTCCCTTACCTAAGTTAGATTTTTTTTTTCACGAGTGCATTGGCATTTCACCAAACGTGACGCAAGAGCACTAGAAGTACGCATGCACAATTACTTATAACCTTACATACTTGTAGCGTAGGGAAGCTACCGTAAATTTACGAAAGCGATACCTTACAATTTAAGATGCTGTACTTTAAGTAAAACTGTGATTCTATGAGCAGAAAAATTTGGTAGATTAAAGATTTTGATGAATTCAACGATAAAGAATGCAGCTTATTATTATTATTAATATCAATACTTTAAAAATATTATCGAACTTTATTGATTATTTACCTCCTTTTAACTAAATTGCATTGTTAAAATAATTTTAAAATAGCGAAAATATATTTAGTTTCTTATAAAACTAGTACAATTAGACAACAATAATGTTAAACAAAATATAAATAAAATTATTTTTTATTGAATGAACTAATTAATGCAAGATAACTTGATTCATTTCTAAATTTTTTCAATACGCATTAAAGTTCTTTTAAATCTGCATTCCAT